CCATCCCCTTCCCATTTTGGTCCCCATCCCCATCCCAATCCCGATTCCCACCCCCACCCTATCCCCATTCCTGTCCCCGTTGCCATCCCATCCCCATTCCCATCCCCATCCCTATCTCCGTCCCACCCCACCTGCCCAGGTGTACATGTGCCAGATCTCCGTGCCCAGATGCGTGTGTGTCCAGATGTGCATGGGCGCAGACCCGCCTGTCCCAGACGTGCGTCTGCCCAGATACGAGCGTGCCCAGATGTGTGAGTGCGCGAGTGTGCCCAGACCCGCGTGTGCCCGGCCGCAAGCGCTGCCCGACGTGTGCTCACACCCGTGTGTGCCCTGCCCCCCCCGCTGGGTGCTGTGGGGCAGGACGGGGCCAAGGAGGGACGGACCCGGGGGGGGGGGGTGGGGGGTGTCCCATGGGAGCACCAGGGTGCGTGTGAGCTCGCGGCGCGTGTGAGTGTGCACGGCGCTGCAGGCGGGGATGTGTCACCGCGCACACGCACACGGGGGGGGCGGTTCCACCCGGGCACGTAGACACGCAGGACGCGTCCGCGCGCTGTGGGGCACGCGGTGGGGCGGGGACGTGTCGGGGGTGGGAAGTGCCCCAGGGGTCACCTGGGGATACCCCCCCCCCCCACGTGCTCGGGGTATCCCCGGGCTCCCCCGTGCTCATTGTGTCCCGCCCCCCCCCCCCCCCGCAGTGCTCCATGTGACCCCCGCAACATTCCCCGCGGTGCTCGGGGTATCCCGAGGACGCCCCCATATTCACTTGGACCCGTTCCCCACACGCGGTGCATCTCCGGGCCTCCCCATCCCATGTTCGGTTCGTCCCTGGGGGACTCCTCTCTGATGCTCTGCATGTCCCCAGGACCCCCCCCCACCCGTATTGCTGTGTCCCGGGACCCCCGCTCTCGGTGCATCCACGGGATCTCCATCGTGTTCCGTGCATCCCCGGCACCCTGCCCGGTGCTCCGTGTCCCCCCGCCCGCCCGTGCTCACTGTGCCCCGGGACAACTCCCACGGTGCATCCCGTCCCCCGTCCCCTCGTGTTCCATGTGTCTCCGGGACCCCCCCACCATGTTCGGTTCATCCCCGGGGCCATCCCATTGTCGCTGTGTTCCGGCACCCCCGTGGTCATTGTGTCCCGGGATTGATCCCCTCCCGTACATGCCCGGGAATTACACACACACACACCCCACACCCCCACCCCGATCCTCCATATGACCCCGGCCCCCCCCCCCCCCGTTATCGCTGTGTCCCGGGATCCCCCGGCTTGCTGCATCCCCCGTCGGACACATGGACGGACATGGACGGACCCCCGGGCACACGCGTGGACACACGGACACAGGGACGGACACACGGACACGGCCGCTGTCGGGCCGGGGCGGGCGGGGCCGGGAAGCGCCGTTGTGCAACGGCCCCGCTCCGCTATAAAGGGGGGGCCGCAGGGATGGAGCCGCCGACGGGACTGGACGGGACCCTCAGGGCGAGCCAGGTAAGGGGAGGATCCCTCCCACCCCCACCTAGGGACACCCCTTGTCCCGGGATAACCCTTGTCCTGGGACCCCCATTCTCCTGGGACATCCCCCATGGGACACTCCTTGTCCCGGGACCTCCCCACCCCAGGACACCCCCACTGTGGGATACCACTTCCCCAAGGACCCCCCTTGTCCCGGGATACCCCCCTCATGGGACCCCCATTCTCCTTGGACACCCCCTCATGGGACACCCCTTGTCCCGGGACCTCCCCACCCCAGGGACACCCCCACTGTGGAACCCTCCTCCTCCCCAAGGACCCCCTTTTGTCCCTGGGTACTACTCCCATGGGACGCCCTCCTGTGGCAGTTCCTTTGTCCTGGGACATCTGCCCCTGGGATCACCCTTCTTCCGGGACACCCCCACCATGGGACATCCCTACCACCCCAGGACACCCCCACTTTGCCCCTCACAACTCCCCAGGGCCACCACCCCAAGGGACTCCCCAGCGCTGTGGGGTGCAGAGTGGGGGGACACGGGACCCCAGAGGCCATGGGGGGGACACCTCCCGTATCTCCCCCACTCCCGTATCCCCTCCTTGTCTCCATCTCTCCCCTCACTCCCTATCCCCCCCTTGTCCCCCTTTGTCCTCCCCCATCCCCATGTGTTCCCCATGTGCCTGACCCCATGCCCCGACCAGGGGCTCACTCCCCGATCTCATCCCCCCCCCCCCGAGGCTCCTCGGGCAGGTTTTGGGTCCCCCCTCGTGTCCCAGTGCCGGTGCCATGTGGGGCCCGGCCGCGCCGCTCTGGGCGCTGCTGTGCCTGGGGCTGCCCGCGGGAGCGGGGCGCCCCGTGGGGCTGGACAGGGTGCGGGTGGATGCGAAGAACCTGATCCGCACCCTCAGCACCCGCCTCCAGCGCCTGCAGGTGAGGGGGTGTCCCCAAGACGGCCCCGGGTCAGGAAAGGGGAGGGGGGAGCCTCAGGGTAGCCCATGGGGGGCACCCAGAATGGACGAGGGGAGATGGGGGGGGGCAGAGGGGGGGATATAGAAGGAGGAAGGGGGGGGTCTGTGCCTAAATTGGGAGTCTCGGGGGGGGGGGGCACAGCATGGCTGGGGGGGATCTCTGAGGCACAGATTGGGGACCCTCATGGGTGGGATGCTGGATAGGGGGTCCCTGTGCCCTAACTGGGGGTCCCGGGAGAAAGGTCCCCATGGCTGTAGGGTTTAGGGGGTGCTTTGAGGCAGGGATTGGAGGTCCCCTGGGGGGGGATGCTGAATAGGGGATCCCATTGCTGAGGGTTCTGTGCCCAAACTCGGGGTCTCCAGGAGGGGTCCCCCATGGCTGTGTGTGGTGGTGGGGTCTCTGGGCCCAGATTTGGGGGGTTCCAAGGGACAGTTCGTTTGGGAGGAGGGGTATTCCCGGGGGGCTCCCCATGGCTTGGCGGGGGGGGTGTGTCTATGCCCTGGATAGGGATGTTCCCAAGGGGTAGATGCTGGGAGGGGGGATCCCCATGCCCAGATGTGAGGTCCCCAAGGCTGAAGAAGCTGACGGGGTGGGCTCAGTGACGTGGATGGTGAGGGACCCCCATAGCTGGGGGGGGTGTGTGTGTGTGTCTGTGGGTGCTGACCCCCCTGTGTCCCCCCACAGCTGTTCCCGCTGGGGGTGCAGATCCGCGGGCTGGGGGCGGTGCTGGAGGGGCCGCCCCCCCCTCCGGGGCTGGGGGCGATGGGGCAGCGCCTGCAGCTCTTCCAGCGCCTGCTGGGGGCGCTGCCGGGAGGGGGCGCCGGGGGGGCGGCGCCGCTGGCGCAGGTGGCCACGGACCTGGAGACGCTGCGGCACCTGCTGGGGGCCATGGGCGCGCTCCTGCGCTGCCCCCCCCCGCCACCGCCCCCCCCCGCGCCGCCCCCCGCCCCCCCCGCCGTGGCCGAGGCGCCCCACACGGCGGCAGGGGTGACCCTGGCCCGGCTGCGCCGCTGCCTCGATGCGCTGGAGCAGGGACTGGAGGGGGGGGAGATGGGATGTTAGCGGGGGGGCAAGGGGGGAACGCGCGTGTTAACGGGGGGAGGAACATGTGGGGGGGGGCAGGGGGTGGTGACATGCACAAGATGGAGGGGGGGGGTCCAGGGTGTTAATGGGGGGCAGAAACGGGGAACACATGGGGACAATGGGGGGGAGCCAGGATGTTAATGGGGAGAGATGGGACATAGGGGGACATGGGGTGTTAATGGGAGGGACATGGAGGGACATGGGGTGTTAATGGGGGGGGTAGACATGGAAGGACACGGGGGACCCGGGCTTTTAACGAGGAGGACATGGGCAGACATGGGGGACACGGGGGACACATAGGGGGGACCCAGGCTGTTAATGGGACACGGGGGGGTACGGGACACACTGCTGTGATTGCTCTTATTTTATTACTATTTTATTAATATTTCATTATTTGACTGTTATTTTATGCTATTTCCTTATGTTCTTGTCCTTTTACTGTTATTACTATTTTATTATTTTCTTAGTAATTTATTAATATTTATTTTCCTGTCATTTTATGACCATATCGTTATTTTAGTGTTTATTGTCATTTCATCATTTTTTGTTACTCTATCACTATTTATTAATTCATTATTTTACTGTTAATATTTTCCCATTTTATTGCTATTATTGTATCAAACTATGACCAAATTCTTCTTATTATATTCTGATTTAGGTACAATTAATGATTAGTATTGAAGTTTTATTAATTAAAATACTGTTAGCATTAACTATAAAAGTCTTAATTTATTATCATGGAATTCATGTTTAATTATCGTTATTAGTGGATTATTTCATTTTGTAATTTATTAATGTTATTTTTATCATTGAATTATTTATCATTATTTTATTACCAGGGCATCATTATTGTATTTGTATTAAATCCTTATTTTATCGTTGTTATAACTGAATGCCCAATATTTTCATTATCACATTATTATTACTGTTATTATTAGTATTGCCACTCTTGAATTATTATCCAATTCTTATTTTATCATCATTTTACTATTGTTACTATTGTTATATTGAATTATCACAGAATTATTCATTCTTCTGATTGAATGCCGATGTGGATGGTGACAATGGTGACAACAACCACGGTAGCAGCTGCTCCGGTAACCCCAACCCCCTCCTGGTGCAGGGACTCCAAAGCAGGGTCTGAACCTGGGGTTCACCAGGACACGGGGTCACACGAGGTCACACGGGGTCACATTTGAGCTGACTCAGACCCGGGGGGTTCAGCAGCCACCAACACTGGGACACTGGGGGACACAGGGACAGGAAGGGGCACAGGGGGATGTGGGGGGATACAAGGACATGGAAGGACAAGAGGGGACACAAGGACACATGAAAGGTGATGGGGAGGGCACATAAGGGGACACATGGTGGGAGGGGCACACGAGAGGACACAGGGACCTGAGGGCACCTTTTATCCTCCAAAAGCTTTATATTAAAATATACTTCAATACTTTTACACAGCGGGAGGGGTGGGGGGAGCAGCACCCATGGGGGGGTCTGGGTGCTGGGGGGGTCTCAGCTCTCGAACCACTTGCTCCTCTTGACTGTGTGTGGGTCACTGCCCAGGATCTTCCTCTTGTACCGCTCCACCAGGGCATTGAACCGGGCCTCGGCTCCCCTAGGGCCCTCCCTGCGAGCCTGAGGTGTGGGGGTGAGATGCGGGCTCTAAACCCCCCCATCACCCCAAATCCACTCCCACCCGACATGGGGGCTACCAAGCCCACACCCCCCAATCCAACCACCCAAGAAAGGGGGAGCCCCAAATGCCACATGAGGTGGGGGGAAGGGTGGGGGTCTCCAACCCCCCCCCCCCAAGTCATGCCCCCATATACCCGAGGTAGGGGGGTCCCCAAATCACCCCCCTCAGAGCCACCATGGGTATAGGGAGCACAGGGGTCCCCAAACACCTGCCCCTCACCCATCCAAGGGGGTAAAGGATGGGGGTCCCCAACTTGCCCCCAATCCCCACAGAAGGATGGGGATCCCCAAATCCATGCCCCCACCCATCCAGTCCCATTGGGGCTGCAGGGCCAGGGGAAGGGGGTGAGGAGACCCCCCCCTGCACCCACAGTTAGGGGGACATGATACCCCAAAAGCACATGGAGGGGTTGGGGAGTCCTTACCTTGGGGGGGGGAACCTTGTGATTCTCTTTCCTCCTCTGGGCTTTGGCCTTAGGCTGCTTCTGCTTGGGGGCGGGCTTCACCTTTCCCTTGTCCCGTTTCCTGGGGGCAGGGAGCAAAGGGGCACCCGTGGGTGCTCAGTACCCTCCTGGGTGCCAATATACCCCCATGGGTGCTGCCAACCAGCACCCAGAGGGGATTTGGGCGCAGGAGGGGAGGGGGAAGATGGGGATCCCTCAATGGGGGCAGGAAGAAGGAGGGAAGAAGGTGACAAAGAGGAGGAAGAAAAAGAAGAGGAGGAGGAAGATAAGGAAGGGGAAAGCAGATGAAGCGGGAAAGGAAGAGGAAGGGGGGAAGGAAGAAGGGCCCCCCCATACCTGATCTTGGGCCCACGGTGTGAGGGCAGCGCCAGCACCTTCCTCCTCGTGGACCCATCTGGAAGCGTCACCCTCCCCGCGTGCGGATCCGTGCGGAACCCGGACCAGGGCTGGGGGGGCTCCCGGGAGGCCGAGGGGGGGCCCTGGGGGTCCTGCCCCAATTCAGGGGCCCCCCTCTTCCCGTGGGGCTTCTTCTGGGGTGCAGCCGGTTCGGGGGTTGCTGCTGCCGCCGCTTGCATCTGCTTCAGCTTGAGCTGGGGGGGACAAAGGGTGAGCAATGGAGATGGGGGGATGAAGGGGGTGACCCAAAAGGGTGGGGGGCACCCACGAGGCTGCGCTGGGTTCGCTGCTCCTTCAGCTTCAGCTTCCGCCGGTCCTCGAGGGAGAACTCCACGATGGGGCGCTGTGGGGCAGGAATGGGGGTGAAGGGGGGTGAAAAGAGGGGTGAAGGGGGGAATGAATGGGAAGGAATGAATGGGGGGGTAAATGGGGGTGATGAATGGGGGAATTATCAATGGGACAGGATATGAATGGGGTGATGAACACGAATGGGGGACACACAAATGCAGGGCACCCACCTAGGGCTTGGGGGGATGGGGGGCAACTCCCCCAGAGGGCATGGGGAGACCCCCTAGGGGCCCTATAGGGCAGAGTGGAAGGGTATGGAGGAGCCCTGCTGGTGGGGGGTACTTGGGAGGGCACAGGGGTGCAGGAAGAAGGGGGCTAAATGGTGGGTGTAAGGATCTGGATGAGATTACAGGGGTGTGGAGGGTTGATATAGGGGTGCTGTGAGTGGTAAAAGGGTGCTGGGAAAGATATAGGGGCGGTGGGATGTTATAGTGGTGCAGGGGGTTATAGGGGCAAAGGGGGGCAATAAAGGTGCTAGAGGGTTACAGAGGTGCTGTGGAGAAGGATTAAGGTTACAGGGGGCTTATAGGGATGCTGAGGGTGATATAGGGGTGAGGGGGGTTATAGGGGTGCTCTGGGTGGTTATTGGGGTGCAAGGGGGATATTGGGGTACTGAGGTGGGCTATAGGTCTGCAAGGGGGTGGTGACAGACAGGACCTCTTAAGCCCCCTTAGGTAAAGGGCAGGGTCTGGGGGGGCTGTGGATGCCCCGGGGGGCTTCAGCGGCACCCCCGGCAGTGCCCCCACCTTGTGTGCCCCGAAGAGCCGGGGGTTGTTGTTGATGCTGCGCAGGGCCCCCAGCGCCTCCTCATGCGTCCCAAAGCCCACAAAGGCGAACCCCAGCGACTGCCCCTGGCCCCGCTGCTCCCGCATCACCCGGCACTGCAGGGCGGGGGGGACAGGGGGGAGATGCGGACACATGGGGGGACAGCCAGAGCTGCTGCACCCCGAAACCCACCCTTGGGGGGACACAGAGCACAGGGGACACTGGGGGGACATGGATGAGGGGGGAAGGACATCCACTACCTCTGCACCTATCACCCCCAAACCCGCCGAGAGGGGACACTGGGGGGGGATGACACCCAGAGCCTCTGTACCCCCAAAAACCCACCTCAGAGAAGACATAGGGGGACATGGGGAGACACACCAAGCCCCTCTGCACCCCTAAAACCCACCCCAGTGGGGACAGAGAGCACAGGAGCACATGGCAGGGGACAGAGGAGGCACACAGGGGGAACACCCACCTCCCCTGCACCCCAAAACCCACCCCACAAAGGACACATGGGGGATGAACACTGCCTCTGCCAGCAAACCTGCTCCCATGGGAGACACAGACCGTAGAAGAATACTGGGGGGAGACACAAAGAGGGGGACACCCACATCCCCTGCACCCCCAAAACCTCCCCAGAGGGTACAGGGGGGATACTTGAGAGATACCCACATCCCATGCACCTGCAAACCCACCCCAGAGAGAACACAGGGGGGACACCCACTGATTCTGCCCCCGCCCCCAACCGCTCTCCCAGTGAGGCCCCAGCACACAGGAGCACATGGAGGGATCCCTGGGGGGGGGAAGGTCCCCACCTCCTTGATGCAGGGGCCCTTGCCCCCCCCCCCCAGGAGGCGGCGCAGGACCTGGCGCAGGTGGGTGCTGTCGATGGCCTTGGGCAGGTTGTGGATGCAGAGCCGGGTGCGTGACACAAAGATGTTGGGGTCCCGCAGCTTCTGCGCCTTCAGCTCCTCAAACTGAGGGGGTCGGGGGGGGGTCATGGGGGCCCGTGGTACCCCAAAACGGGGGGCAGGGGAATGGGACACACACACAGTGCTGCAGGGATCACACTCACCCGAGCTCGCTTGGCCATGTCAGCATCGCTCACCCCCTCAGCTGCTTTCGTCCCGGCCCGGATCACTGCGGGGCAGGGGGAATAAAAGGGTTTGGGGGGTTAAAAAGGGAGATGGGGGGTGGGGATAAAAGGAGTTTGGGTTTGGGGGAGGCAAAAAGGGGGACTGGGGAGGTAAAAAAGGAGGTTTGGGAGGAGAAATGGTGGTTGGAGAGGCACAAAAGGGGATTTTGGGGGGGCAAAAAGTGGGTTCGGGAGTAGAAAAAGGGATTGGGGGGTGCCAAAAATGGGGTTTGAATGGGTCAAAAATGGGGTTTTAGGAGGTAAAAAAAGTTTTGGGGGAGCAAAAAAGGGGGTTCAAGGGGCCAAATAGGAGGGGTTTGGGGGAAAAAAGGGAGAGGGGGCAAAAGGGGGTTTAGGGGGACCAAAAGAAGGTTGTGGGAGGGGCAAACCCCGGGTATTCTGAAGGGGGAAAAGGGGGCTCAGGGGAACAAAAAGGGGCATTTGGGAGGCAAAAGAGCAGTTGGGGGGGGGGGGATATGGGGGAGGCAACAAAAGGGGGTTTGGGGATGTAAAGCCCAGGGATTTAGGTGAAAAATAACAGGATTTGGGGTCACAGAGAGGGTTAGGGTGCAAAAAGGTGGTTCGGGGGGGGGGGCACAAAGTGGGGGTCACAGGGGTAAGGGGGTGCTTGGGGGTCCCCACTCACAGCCCTCCCGTGCCAGGTAGAGGTTCCGGGTCCCCGCTGGCTTTGGCTCCTTGCAGCCCCGCAGCTTCCGCGCCTCCTCGCGGGTCACGGCCTGGTCCATGCGGAGCAGGCGCCCGTCCAGGCGCAGGCCCCCACCCTGTACCGGTGGGAACCCATTGGGAACCCCACAATGGGGGGATGACCCCCAGAATGGAGAGGGCCCCAAAGGTAACCCCTGAACCTACAGGGGTGGGATGGTGATGCTCCAACCCTCGATGTCACTCCTGGGGGGTCCCTTGGTCACCTATGGGGGTTCCTTGCCATCCTGGGGAGGGGTCCTTTGTCACCCTACTGGGAGTCTCTGTCACTCTAGGTTGCTTATTGCCCTAGGGTGGTCCCTTGTCACATTGGGGTGGCCCTTTACTGCACTGGGGGGGGGGGGGGGGGGGCTCTTGTTGCTCTGGGGGGTTGTCTTTCTGTTAAATGGGGCAGTCCCTTGTTGCCCTGAGGGAATCCCTTATTATCCTGGGGGAGCTTTCATCACGTATGGGGGTCCTTGTCACCCCAAGGGGGGTCCTTATTGCCCTGAAGAGGTCCCTTGTCACCCTGGCGGGGGGCCTCATCATCTATGCAAGTTCCTTGTTACCTCATGGGGTCTTTTTACTGCCTTGGGGCGCTGCTTTTGCCACCAGGAAGGAACCCATCGTCACCCAGGGGGTCCCTCGTCACTCCAAGGGGGTCCCTTTGTCAACTATGGGGGTCTCTCATCCCCCGGGGGGGTCCCTGTCCCCCCTCTCACCTCCCCATCGCCCTGAGCCGCCTCAAGGCACTTCTGGGCAGCTTCTTGTGTCTGGAACTGGGCGAAGGCACAACCTGGGGGCAGAAAGGGCGTTACTGGGGGGAAACAAAGGGGGTTCCCCCCCTCCAGTGCCCCCCCCCTTACCTTTGGAGTGCTCGGTGTCGGGGTGCAGCACCACCCGCACGTACTTGAGCTCCCCAAAGCGCTGCAGCAGTGTGCCCAGTGCCTCCTCCTCCGTGTCAAAAGACAGGTTCCTGGGGGGGTGGGGAATGGGACGGGGGACAGGAGTGGCTGTCAAGGGGGGACATGGGCCCCCCACATCCACAGTGACCCCCCCCCCAGTGGCAGGGAGGACCCCAAAGTGTGCTCCCCCCCTGCATTGCAGCGCTCACCTGATGAACACAGTCCTGCCCTCACCCACATCAGACGGGGGGGCACCCCCTCGGCCACAGCGCTTTTTGGGTGTCTTCACAGCTGGAGATGGATGGGGGGGGAGGGGGGGTGGGGGGGCACTACTAAACCTCCCCAGTGTGGGAAGAGCCCCAGAACCTCACAGACACCCCCCTGGACCCCAAAATGAACCCCCCTAAATCCCATGGAGAAATCCCCAATCCAATGGGGAGACCCCCCCCCCATACTTACAGGGGAACCCCCAGTCCCATGGAAACACCCCCAGACCCCTGGGTAGCACCCCGCAAATCCCAGGGGCAACTCGTCAGATGAGACCTCCTAGATCTACTGGGAGCCCCCTCCAATCCAAGGGGAAACCTCCCCCAGATCCCGACGGGATTTCCCACCCTAATCCCAGTGGAGTCCCCTCAATCACCAGGGAACCTCTAAAATCCCAGGGAAACGCCCCCCAGATCTCCAGGACAGGCCCCCCAATACAAGAGGACTGCCCCCCCCCCCCCCCCCCCCAAGTCCAAGGGAACCCCACCAGACACCCAGGATACATCCCACCCCCCAAACCCCCATGGCAGCACCCAAATCCCAGGGGAGTCCTCTCCAAACCCCTTGGGATCCCCCCAAGGGACCGCCCCATGATCTACTGGGGAAACCCCCAAACCCACTGGCAGCCCCCTAAGGGAAACTCCCCCTGACCGCCAGGAACCACCCCCCCCCCAAGCCCGATGGCAGCACCCAAATCCCAGAGGAACCACCCCTGGACCCCCAGAAGAGCCCCCTCAATCCAAGGGGAGCTCCCCCACCCTCCTCTAACCCAGCCACTGCCACCCTCATCCACCAGAGCAGAACACACCTTCATCCTCCTCATCTTCATCCTCTTCCTCATCCTCATTCTCCTGCTCACTGTGATCCTCGCTGCCTCCATCATCACCTTCTACCTCCTCTTCTTCTCCATCTTCCTCTTCTTTTTGCTCCTCCTCCTTTTCCTCCTCATTCTGCTCTTCCTCCTCCTTCTTCTCTCCACCCCCACCAGGTTCCTCCTTGCCCCCTGCACACCACCAGGTACCAGCAGTGACCATCACCCCAAGTAACCCCCAGTGCCCCCCACAAAGGCCACCAATGTTGTTCAAACACCCCCAAAACCACTCGGGGGAGGGTCCCCGGTCAGGCCTGGGGGGGGGGGGTGTTGGGGTGCGCAGGGTGGGGTTTGAGGTGCTCAGGGGGGTTACGGGGTGCAGGACCCTCACCCTGGGTCCCCTCTGTTGCCTGGTACTTGTCCTTGGCCACAGCCCAATCCACAGCCACCGGCCGCCCTGGGGAGGCAAAGGAACATGGCGGACCCCATGAGTACCCCCCACTTCTGAGAGACCCCCCAAAGCCTCCTCCTCTGCTCCCCCAAACCTTTAATCTCCTTCATGTTCATCCCCCGAAGCGCTTTGGTTGCTTCCAGCACGTTCCTGAGCTGCACGAAGGCGAATCCTCGCATCTTCCCATCTGCCGAGAGCCTGGAATGCTGCTCCGAACCCCCTCCATGCTGCTCCAAGTCCCCCCAGCACCCCCTCACATCCAACCTGCCCTTTGGAGGGGGGGGGGCATCACCCCAAAACCCACCCCTATGAGGCAGGGGGGATGGGATTTACCTGCCTTCTTGGGGATGTTCACCTCCAGCACAGAGCCATAGGGCGAGAAGAGATCCCTCAGCTCCTCCTCCGAGCACTGGGGGTGGGGGGCAGGGGGTGAACTGGTGGTCCCCAAACCCACCCCCCCCGGCCAGGCTCTCTCAGGACCCCCCCAAACCTTGAAGCTGAGGTTGCGGACGATCAAACGCGCTTTCCTGGATGCCGGCCGGGGCTGCTTCACCTGCTGGCGGTTCCCTGTGGGGGGCAATGGGCATTGAGAATGCTCAGCTCCCCTCTGGGGGTGCAGGATAGGACCGGGGACCCCCTCTCACCTCCTGCCTCCTGCACTGCCCCCCCCCGGGGGGGTTTCTGCCCCCGGCGCCGGGCGGGGGTCACGGTCAGGCGATGGCTGCCCCATGGCGGGGGCTCCTCAAGGGCTCTTTGGGCATCCTCGTCCAGGGAGAAGGTGACGTAGCCAAAGCCACGGCACCTCTGGGTGCCTGGGGGGGACAACGGGGGGAGAAAGGGGGAGCCAAGCGCTGACACCCCAAATACTGCCCCTCCTGAAGCCCCTTCCTGGCATCCCCAAACTGGGGGTCACAAATGTGACCCCCCCCCCATTCAACAGTCCTAGACAATGGCTCTGGGGGTCCCCACGACCCCCAAATCCTGTCCCCCCCAAATTCCTGCCACACAGTGTCCTCTGTGACCCCCCAGTAAACAGGTCTCAAAACACATCAGCATCCCTAAACCCTGGTCCCAGACCTCTGTAGCCCCCCAACCCTGGTCCTGCCCCCCCCAGCCCCTGGTCAAAGCACCCCAAATGCTGTCTCTGGGTCCCTCTTTGGTCCAAGCCCTGCTCAGCACCCACCAGACCCCAGCCCCAGGCCACTCGGCCCCCCAAAACCCTGGTCCCAGAGCTCGGCCGCATCCCCTTCTCCAGCCCCCTTGAAGCCCCTCAGCCCATACCCATAGCCGAGTCCCAGCCCTCCTCCCTGTCCCTGGTCTCCTTCATCCCCTCCAAACCCCACTCCCAGCCCCCCCCAGTCCCCCAGACTCTGGTCCCAGCCCCCTCCTGATCCTAAAACCCCAGTCCTGGCACACCAAAACCGCGGTCTCAGTCACTTTAAGCCCCCCAGACTCCAGTCTTGGCCCCTCTCAGCACCCCCGATCCCGGTTCCGGGTCTCCCAGACCCCAAACCTCACTCCCAGCTCCCCCAGCCCCCGGTCCCGGCCCCCCCGGACCCTTCTCTGTGACGACGAAGCCGCGCCGCAGGGGCCCGATGCTCCCGAAGAGCTGCTGCAGCTCCGCGTCGGTGGCGGCCGCGGGCAGGCCCCGCACCAGCACCGTGCGGCAGCGGGGCGCCGCCATCTTGGACAGCGCAGGGCAGGAGGGGGCGGGACAGATCGGAGCCCGGGGGGGGGAGAGCGCCCCCTGGCGGCGCGGAGGAGAACCGCGGCTAGAAGGCTGCGGAGGGGTTTTGGGGGTCCCACAGGGGGACACACCCCCCCACAGGGGCTTGGGGGGCATATCCCAGGGGTCAATTGGGGGGTCTCGGGGACCCTATGGGGTCTCAAGGGTTACCATCACAGGGACTTGGGGATCAAGGGCGGTTGGGGGTCCTTGTCCCAAGGGTGGTGGGGATCGTGGGGGTCCCATCCCAGGGGTGTGAGGGGTACCGAAGGTCCCATTATAAAGGCTGTGGGGCCAGGGGGCTCGGGGCTCCCCTACGAAGGGTTAGGTGTCCCATATGGGTGTCCCATACCAGGGGTCATAGGGGTCGTGGTGGGGTTTGAGGGTCCCACCCAAGAGTCACAGGGGGGTTATGTGGGGGTCACAGTGTGGGGGCACTCCCCGTTGTGGGGGTCCCGAGCGGTCACACTCACACCCTTTGTGCGTGGCACTTTATTGGGTACAAGGGGGGGCACCCCCTAATGTCCCTCCCCCCAGCGGTTGAGGGGGGAGGGCTTGTCAAAGGGGGGGCCCTGGGGCACGGGAGGGGGGCTCAGATTGTCACCACTTGGGGGGTCTGAGGGGCTGGGAGGGTCCCCAGGGTGTCATCAGCACTTGGGGGGCTCAAGGACATGGGGGGCTCCAGGTTCTTGCTCATACTTGGGGGGGGTCACAGGGACTTTGGAGGCTGCTGGGGGGTCCCCAAGTTCTCATCAGCACAAGGATATGGGGGGGCTTTGATGTCACCCGTATTTGGGGGTCTCAGGGACCTTGGGGGTGTTTGGAGGGGTCCCAGGTTGTCATCAGCACTTGAGGGTCTCAAGGACATGGGGGGTCCCAGGGACCTGGGGGGCAGATGGGGTCTCTTGGGGAGGTCTCCAGAGCACTTGGGGGTCCGAGGGGGGTCCCAGCCCCACTGGGTGCCCCCAGCACCATGAGGGGGTTTGGGGATGCCCCCCTACAAGTCTATGGTGTCACTGCCCTGTGGGGACAGGGGGGCACTGTCCTGGACCCCTGGGGACACCGCGAGGGCCCCAGTGCCGGAGGAGGAGCAGTGCAAGGCGGGGACGCCGGTGGGGCTGGGTCCTGTGGTGGAGGTGCCAGGACTTGGGGCCATGGTTGTGGCAACACTCGGGGTCATGGGTGCTCCAAGAGGTGCTGCAGTTGTGCCAAGAGCTGGTGTGCTGCTCGTGCCAAGGCTTGAGGTTGTGGTTGAGCTAACGCTTGGGGTCATGGTTGTGCCAACGCTTGAGGTCATGGTTGTGTTGAGAGCCAGAGTCATGGTGGTACCAACACTGGTGGTTGTGGTTGCACCAACACTTGGGGTTGTGGTTGTACCAACACTTGATGTCATGGTGGTACCAACACTGTGGGTTGTGGTTGTACCAACATTTGATGTCATGGTGGTACCAACACTGGGGGTTGTGGTTGTACCAACACTTGATGTCATAGTTGTACCAACAGGTGTTGTGGTTGCTCCAAGAGTTGTGGTTGCACCAAGATCTGGGGCCATGGCTGTATCAAGACCTGGTGTGCTGGTGGTGCCAGTACTTGATGTCACAGTGGTACCAACACTTGATGTCGTGGTTGTGCCAAGACTTGAGGCCATGGTTGTGCCGATGCGTGTGGTGCTGGTGGTGCTGAGCTCTGGTTTGCTGGTTGTGCTGAGCACCGGTGCACTGGTTGTGGTGGCTGCAGGTGCGCTGGTGGTGCTGGGACTTGAGGCTGCGGTTGCATTAAGACTTGATGTTGTGGTTGCTCCAAGACTTGGGGCCACGGATGCGCCAACACTTTGGGTCATGGTTGGGCCAAGACTCGTTGTTACGGTTGGGTCAAGAGTTGGTGCCATGGTAGTGCCAAGGCTTGAGGTCACAGTTGTCACAATGCTTGGTGTCGTGGCTGTACCCACGCTCGAGGCCAAGGCTGTCCCAGGGCTCGAGACCAAGGTTGTGTCAAGACCAGAGCTCAGGACCCCATCGAGACTCGACGTCAAGGTTGCCCCAAGACTCGACAACGTCACAGACGTCCCAAGACTCGGCGTCAGGGTTCCTTCCACACTCGGGACCGTGGCCTTGCCGCTGCCCCCCACCCTGGAGCCCCCATTGCCCCCCATTCCCAGCCCGTTCCACCCCGTTCCCAGCCCATTCCAGCCCAACCCGCCCACATCGCGGCCGATCCCGTGCCGCGCCCCCAGCGCCTCGTCGATGCTGCGCCGCAGGTTGATGGGCGTCGGGGGCCGGTACCCGGCCGTGGGGTCCCCGTCCCCCTCCGTGGCCTCGGTGGGTGCCCCACCGCAGGATCCCCCCCCCGCATCCCCGCCTCCCGCCTCGCCGCCCCCCTCTGGCTGCTCCGCGGGGCGCCGCTGCGACATCGGCTTGACCATGGCCATGGCGGCCACCGTGCCCCCCATGGCCACCTCCGCCACCCGGCACCCCAGCTGCAGCCCCCACCACCCCCAGGGCCCCTGCGGCCCCGTGCCCGCCCACCCCATGGCCGTGAGCACCCCGTAGACCTGCAGCACGGCGCTGCCCAGCGCCCCCAGCACCCCCACGGCGCCCCCGAGGAGCGCCCCCCCGCGGCAGCCGCCCCCCGCGGGCAGCGCCAGCGCCAGCCCCAGCGCCAGCGCCACGAACCCGCCCCGCGGCAGCAGCAGCAGCGCCCCCGCGCGGCCCAGCCCCGCCACCGCGAGCACGGCGCCGGCCGCCAGCGCCAGGTGCAGCAGCGCCAGCGCGGCCGGCAGGGGGCGCGCCAGGCCCCGCGCCAGCCCCCAGCCGAGGCACGGGAAGGGCAGCTCGAAGAGGAGGCGCGCGCAGGGCGCGGGGAGCAGCCCCCGCCGCTCGTACGGGTCCAGCAGCAGCGGGAGCGCGCGCGCGGCCCCCGCCACCGCCAGCAGCGCCCCCCGCGCCCGCGCCGCGCGCCCCGCGCCCCCCCGCAGCAGCAGCGCGAGCCCCAGCAGCGCCAGCGCCGCGAACACCGCCCCCGCCCCGAACACGTGCGCGGGCCACGCCCGGCCCCACGCGCCCGCGGCCGCGCCCCAGCTGCGGGGCGGGGGGAGGAAGTGCGGGGGCCACGCGAAAGGCGCGGGGGAGGCGCGCGGGTGGGGGGGGCACCGCGACGGGGGGGGGCAGGGGGAGGAGGAGGGGGTGGGCGGGGCTGCAGAGAGGGGAAAGGGGGGGTCAGGGGGGTGAGCGCCCGCGCGGCATGTGCGCTCCCCCCCGCACCCCCGTGCAGCGCGGACTGGGGGGGCCGGGATGCACCAGGACACCACTGAGCCCCTCCCCCCCCCCCCGGGACACCCCAAAACCCTCCAGGAGCCCCCTGCCCCCCATAAGAGACCCCAAATCACCCCCAGTCACCCTCAATGCCCCCCCGATCCCCCCCCCCGACTCCCCTAAGACCCCAAAACAACCCCAGTACCCCCCGATCCCACCCTCGACTCCCTTAAGCCCCCCTCCCCCGGATCTCTTCCACCTGGGGCTCCCAAACCCTCCAATCCCCCCAGGCTCCCCCTACTCCCCCATTAATCCCCCCAGGAGCCCCCATTCCCCTCCCAGGACCCCCTCTCTTCGATGATGCCCCCAATCCCACCCGGACCCCCCATACCCCTTTAGAGACCCCCAAGACTCCCCCTAGGACCCATCAACAGCGCCCCAGACCCTCCTCAACTCCTCCCCCCCCCCCCCGATCCCCCTTTATTTCCCCTCCAGGCCCCCCCTAAGCTCCCATTAACCCATAGCCCCCATTCCCCATTCCCAGGACCCCTCACTCTCCTCCATGACACCCAAATCCCACCAGGAACTCCCCCGGACCCTCCAACAGCCCCCCCGGACCCCCCCATTCCCCCCATTCCCCTCACCTGGCTCGGTGCTGCCGCTGCCGCCCTCCTCCTGCCCCCAGGAGCCGTTGCCCCCCCCCAGCGCCTCAAAGCTCAACTTGGGGGGCACCGTGGGAGCCAGGGACCCTGGGGGGGAGGGAGACACGGACCCACAGATTGGGGGGGGGGGCTTAATATTGGGGAGGGGACCCCAGGCCGGTGTTGGGGGGCACTCACCGGCCATAGGCGGGCCCTGCAGGAGGCTGGGGGGGGACGACCCCACTTTGGGGTCCAGCCCCGCTGTCAGGTCAATGGCGATGTCCAGCTCCAGCCCCTTGTGCTTCTCAGATGGGGTGGTCCCCTTTGGGGGGGGGACGCCCCCAAAGCCCCCCATTGCCAATGGGGGCGTCCCAGAGCCCGTCTCGTCACCGGGGTCCCAGCCTGACCCCAATGGGGACAGGCTGTGGGGCTGGGGGGGCGATGTGGGGCGGGGGGGGGGCCGACTTCGCACCTTGATCTTGAAGTTGAGGCCGAGGTTGAGGGACAAGACGGGGGGGGCGTCGCTGTGGGGAGCCCCATAGATGGGGGGCAGGCAGAGCAGGGCCAGCAGCAGGTGGGGGGCAGCGCCCGGCCCCACTGGGGACATCGCTAGGGACATCTGCGGAGGTGGGGGGGGTGGGGTGGTGGTTACACGGAGCTGGGCACCGCTATGGGGTCTGCGGGGGACTGACAGCAGCCGCCCCATGGCACAGCCAGACCCATGGCACCCAGCCAGACCCATAGGGTTCAGATAGTCCCACATCACAGCCAGCCCCACAGGACATAGCCCACCCCATGGCACACTCAACCCCACAGCACGCATCCTACCCTACATCACAGCCAGCCCCATGGCCAGCCCTGCAGCGCACGAAGCCCCATGGCGCAGTCATCCCCATGGAACAGCCAGCCCCATGGCACATCATCCACCCCATGGCACACACCCAGCCCCACAGCCCACTGAGCCCCACGGAACACCCAGCCGTATGGCACACTCTGCCCCATGGCCAGCCTCACAACACTGTCATCCCCGAGGCACAGCCATTCCTATGGCACACAGCCATGGGCAGCCCCACAGCCCCCACAGCCCCACAGCGTTCAGCACCCCCAGCACCACGGGGCCCATGGAGCTCATTGGAGCGTGATGGAACCCTCCCCCCGTGACCTGGTTCCCCCCATTACCTGGGTCCCCCCATGACCCGGTGTGTGTCCCCCCCCCCGCCCGGTGCCTGTCCCTAATGCGAGTGACAGGAGCTGTCCCTGGTGTCACATCGGCCGAGTCCCGCTGGATGTGACGTGACGGGACCCAGTGGCACCGGCACCGTGCGGGGCCCGGGCACGGGGGGGGGGGGGGGGGGCAAGGGCACACATGGGGGGCGGGGGAGGGGGCACACCCGCACGTCCCGGTGCAGCACCCACGGGTGACACACACGGACCCCGTGGGGTGCACGCGCGCGAGACACGGGATCACCGCGGGTCCCATGCGCGTGGCAGCACACGCGTGGTTGCGCGCGCCCCCCCTCGCACCCCCTCACCGCGCACCCCCTTGCACGCGCACCCGCCCCCCACGCTCCCGCCACCGCGTGCACGCGTGGGTGGCCGTGTGCGTGTGACACCGCGTGTGGGTGTGCACGCGTGACAGCGCGTGTGAGCGTGAGACAGCGGGGGGGGGGGCACCCACCTCCAGCACCCCAACACCCCCCAGCACCCCTGCACCCAGCACCCTGGTGTAACGCACCCCAAACCCCTCCACCCTGGGCACGCAGCACCCGCACCGATTGCCCTGCACCCCAACACTGAGCTCCCCGCACCATGAACCCCGAAACCCAGCACCATGGGCACCCCATCCCCGTGCACCCTACACCACACACCCCAAAACCCCTGGGTACCCCAGCAGCCTTCACCCTAGCACCTCAACATCGTGCACCCCAGCAAAGCAGCACCCCAAACCCCTGCACCCAAGGTATCCTGGGCACCCCAATACCCAGCACCCTGCACTCCCGTACCCAGCACCCCAATACCGGGCACCCCATCGCCCTGGACACCCCAAACCACTGCACCCCAGCACCCCCATACCTGACACACCCCTTCCCCACACCCCCGTCCGTGGACAGCCCCCCCCCCAAGCACCCACCGGCCTCGGCGGCGGCTCCAGCCGCGGCCCCGCTCCACGGCAGCACCGGTCTCAGCGGCACCGGCCCCTCCCCTCACCTCCCCCCACCCCACCTTTACAGCCCCCCCTTCTTCACCCTCCTCTTCACCCCCTCCTCCTCATCCTCCTCCTCCGCGATGGACGCGGGCACTAGGACCCGGCGGAGGCCCGCTCGGCTCGGCTGAGCTCGGCTCCGTTCGGCTCCGTTCGCCTCCGCTCGGTTCCTCTCGGTCGCACTTGGCTCCACTCGGCTGAGCTCGGCCCCGCTCGATGCCGCTCGGGTAAACTCGGCCCCGCTCGGCCCCGTTCGGTCGCACTCGACTCGACTCGGCTCCGATCGGGTGAGCTCGGCCCCTCTCGTCTCCCACGGTTACATCGCTCAGACTTGCCCCGCTGCTCACACGCGTGGTGATGGTGGCACTGGTACTCATGGTGGCACTGGTGCTGATGGGTGCGCCACTGCAGCTCCCTCTGCCCTCCTCTTCCTCAGCCGAGACATCACTTCTGCCACATGTGGGACACAAACCTGTGTCCTGGAGCACAAGGCCGCGCCCCGGCCTGCAAACATGTGCCATGCTGTGCGAGGCTGTGCCCATGGTGTGCAAGGGCAAGCCATGGTGTCCAAACCTCTGCTAGGGTTGCAATCCCTGACCCAGTGTGTGAACCTGTGTCCCAGTGTGCAAACCTACTCCCATGGTGTGCAAACCCTTGTCTCCATGTGCAAACACGTGTCACAGTGTGTAAAGCCATGTCATGTCATGCAAGCCCACCCCACTGTGCAACACCACTTCAGGGTGACCCAGCTGTCCCCAGGTGTGCGAAGCCATGTCACGTGTGTCACGTGTATCACATGTTTATCACATGTTCCACGTGTGTTCCATGCGATACCCACACCATGGGATGCTCTATTACTTTATTAATACCTGATATAACGGGGTCCCCCTCAGCCTGCTGGGGACCCCTGGGATGGGCAGTCCCTGGATTCTGGACTGGGGGGTCCCTTGGGTGGGGGCTCCCTGGTTATGGGGGGGGTCCCTGTGGGGGGGACACCCTGAGATGGGGGATCCCTGGGTATGAGGTCCCTGGGTAGGGGAAACACCCAGGGTGGGGGGGTCCCTTCTAGGGTGGTCCCTGGGTTGGGGGTGACCCCTGGGTGGGGATGTCTCCAGGATGGGGGGACCCTGAGCGGAGGGACCCTGAGTGGGGGGTCCTGTGTTCCCCCCAAGAAGGGGTTCAGGGGGGTGCAGCACCCTGGGGCTCCCCCAAGCACCATGGCCCTGAGGGGTGCTGGGGGGGTCAGAGCAGTCCAGCCCATAGTGCAAAGAGTCCCAGAGCAGCACCAGTGATGGTGCTGCTCCGGGGGGGGGTGGGTCAGGGGGACCCCATCCTCAGTACAGCCGCTTCTCATATCTGCGGGGAAGAGATGGGGAGTCGGGGGGGAGGGGTGTGTGTGTGTCATTCAACCAGCCGGCCAATGAGCAACCAGGTCAGCATCCTGCCAATCTGCATCCCAACTATCTGACCAATCATAGCCAAACAGCATCCTGACTGATCACCCAGTCACCCAACGAGCATTCTAACCACCATTCAACGAACAAATGAGCAACCTGGTCCCCCAACCAATCAACCAACCAGCAGACAGGACAGCAACCAGTCAACCAGCATCCCAACCAGCTGACCAATCACAGCCAACCAGCATCCTGACTAGCCAACCAATCAGCATCTTGGCCAGCAATGAAGTGACCAATCAGCATCCTGGTCAACCAGCCAACCATCACCTCAACCAGCAAATCACAGCTAACCAGCACCTCAACCAACCAATCAGCAGCCACCCAAACACAAGAAGCCCCGGCCCCACACCCAGACCCCAAAACCCACTGCAGTATCTCAGGGAGCCCAAGGTCAAGCCCCCAAGTGCCCCAGGCTCTCCCAGTCAGGACCAGTACTCCCAGCACAGGGGTGTACCATAGCTGGGGGAGCTTGGCAATAGGGTAAGGAGGGGGCTGGGAACACCGAAACCCAGCAATGGGGGAGACTGGAACCCCCAGTAGCTCACACTGAGGCAATGGGGAGGAGCTGGGACCCCCAAACCCCAGCACAGGGACACTGGGACCCCCCCAATACCTGAGCAAAGGGTAGCTGGGACCCCCCATAATCTAAAACTGGGATCACTGGGTGCCCCGCCCAACACGTGTAATCCCACACCCCATCAATTCCTTTGCCCCCCCTTACGAGTGGAGCCCGTGGACCCCCCCCTCAAGCTGTGCTGCCATCGTCCTCCTCTCGAACTTCAGCTCCCCCGAGTACATCATGGACCTGGGGGGGATTGGGTGGTCAGTGGGGTCGGGTACCCCCAAACGCCCCCCTCCATGACCCCCCCTCAACCTACCGCAGCACTGAGAGGCTCCGGGCGCCGATGTCCTGGCACCCGTGCTGGATCCCAGCGATCAGGTACGGGATGAAGTGATGGATGGAATTCTCCGGGATGGGGCCGGATGGGTCCCCCTTGCTATGGGGTGACATGGGTGGGGGGGTAAAAAGGGGGGTTCAGGGTGCAGGGACCCCCCCCGCCCCAGACCCTCCCTATGATGTACCTGTGGTGGTGGCCAGCGGCTGTGTCCTGGTGTGGTGACAAACGGGTGGCATCGCGTGGGAGGAATTCAGGGGGGGGGTCGGTGGGGGGGGTCAGGAGGGAGCCCAGCATCACTGTGGGGGGACATGGGGGTGTTAGGTATGGGAGGGCAAATGACACAAGGGTGGGGGGTCAGGGACCCACGGGGAGGAGAATGGGGAGGTTTGGGAGGGGTCAGAACTGAAAAGGGGGGGGACTGGGGGGCAGGGACCCAATGGGGGGCTACAGGGGGCATCAGGCCCTCCTCAGGGTAAGCTTTGGGGCGGTTACAGCGGGGTCAAAGCCATTGGACCCGCTGGGGGGGCACGAGGGTGGGTGGCGGGGTGATGGTCCCCCTTGGGGTGGGTGCAGGAGGGTCCTATCCATCACCCCCCCCCCCGGGGGGTCCTAAACGTGGGTGCAGGGGGTCCCCATCCATCAACTACCCTCGAGGTATCCCTCAATGTGGGTGCAAGATGGGGTGTCAGGACCCCAGTATGAGTATTGGGGGGGGGAGGTACAGGGGGTCAGCCCCCCAGGGATGAGTTTTGGGGTGGGTGCAGAGGGGTCTCCACCCATAACCCCCTCCAGAATGACCACAAAAGTGGGTACAAGGGGGTCCCCATCCACCACCACCCCCCCCCGGATAACCCCAAATGTGGGTGCCGGGGGGTGATGGGATCCCAGAGGGTGCACGGAGATGTGACGTCAGCGACCCCATACTGGGCTTTGGGGTGAGTGCAGGGGCGGCCCCATCCATCGCCCCGCCCCGTTTCCCCCGCTGGTGTACACGGACTGCCCCCCCCTACCCGTGGAGGCGCCGAGCGCCAGCGCCTTCACCACGTGGCCCAGGGTGCGGAGGCCGCCGTCGGCGATGACCGGGACTCCGAAGCGCCGCGCGTACTCGGCCACGCGGTAAACGGCGGTGCCCTGCGGCCGCCCGCACGCCTGCGCTGCGGGAACGGCGTCAGCACCCGCACGGGTTCAGCACCCGCAGGGCGGACAGCGCCCAAGGCGGCAGCAACGGGGGCGCTTGGGGGGGGGGGTGTTTGAGGGGCTTGGGGTGTCAGGAGGTACCTTCATGGGTGAAGCAGCCGGTGCCCACCCGCAGCGCATCCACCCCAGCATCGATGAGGTTCTTGGCTTGGGCGGCTGTGACCACTGCAACAGCACAACATGGGATACCCCAACGGGACGCACCGACATGGGACACCCCCATGGGGAGACCCCAACGTGGGACAGCCCCACTGGGGGCAAACTGAGACGGGACACCCTGACAGGGGTACCGCCAAGGGACAACAAGGTGGGACACCACAAAATGGGACACCCTGACATCGGAGACCCTGACATGGGACATCCCAAAGGAGACACTTGAGAACAGAACCCATAGGACACCCCCATGGGGACAGACCCAGATGGGACACCTGCAGAGGGGACATCAACATGGAACACGCTAATATGGGACACCCTCATAGAAACACCCCCATGGGGGACAACCCCATAGGGGACACACTGAGATGGGACATCCCCACACCATGATACCCCTAGCTCATGGGGTCCACTGCACCCCAATGATCCCCCTGAGCAGCTCAGTGCCCCATGGCACCCCAAAACCGTGCTCAAGAGCACCCCAATACCCAACTCCATGGCATCCCAGTGCTGTCCCTGCCCTTCATCCCAATATTCTGCCCCACAGCTCCCCAGTCCTTATCCCATGATACCCCAATACCGCCCCTGCCCTGCACCCACACTGCACCCCAAACCCCCACCCTGCTCCACACCTCTGGCATCCCTATTCTGAGCCCCACATCACCCCCTCCCCACCCCCCTCACCAGTGCCACCGATGACCGGGAGCTGTGGGTACCGGCTCTTGATGTACCGGAGCATCCCCAGCTGGAACCGGGAGTTCCCCTGGGATGAGTCCTGGGGACAAGGAACGGGGGGCACCCAGTGAGGGGAGGCATAGGGCGGACACATGGTTTTGGGGTGCTGGGCAGGGAGAGATTTGGGGTGCTGTGGGGCTGAGAATTGAGGTGCTGTGGGGTTGGGAGCAGGGCAGGGGGAGCATGGGGGTACAGGGGTAAGGATTTGGGGGGTTGTGCAGGGTATTGGGGTGTCACAGGGTGAGGAGCAGGGCAGTGTTTGGGGTGCAGGGCAGGGGAAGCATTGGGATGTCCTGGGGGAAGGATTTGGGGTGCAGAGTTTGGGATGCTCTGGGAACAGGATTTCAGTGCTGTGGGTCTGGCTGTTGGTTGGGGTGCAGGGCAGGCTGGGGTGCACTGTGTTTCATATTCCCCTCCAGTCTCAGCGTTCTTCTGCCATGTCCCTTACTCAGCAGCACCAGGTTGGGATATGGGGTGTCCCCATGTCCCCCCGTGTCTGTCCCTCCCCAGCAGCCCCAGGTCAGAGTGTGCTGTGTCCCCATGCCCGTGCCCCCCCATGTCCATCCCTCACCAGCAGCACCAGGTCCACGTGTGCCTGCACCAGCAGGTCCAGC